CTAAAGAAATATAAAACCAAACTTAAAAACCTTTAGACATATCAACAGTATACACGATATCAGCAGTATACAAGGTAGTAGCAACAGTATACATAACAGTATACACGGTAATAACAGTATACATGGTAATATTAGCAGTATACAAGGTAGTAGCAACAGTATACATGATAACAACAGTATACATGGTAATAATAGCAATATACAAGGTAGTAGCAACAGTATACATGATAACAATATACATGGTAATAACAGAATACATGGTGATAATAGCAGAATACAAGGTAGTAGCAACAGTATACATCATGATAACAATATACATGGTAATAACAGAATACATGGTGATAATAACAGTATACATGGTAGTAGCAACAGTATACATGGTAGTAGCAACAGTATACAAGGTAGTAGCAACATTATACATGGTAGTAGCAACAGTATACAAGGCAGTAGCAACAGTATACATGGTAGTAGCAACAGTATACACGGTAGAAGCAACAGTATACATGGTAGTAGCAACAATATACATGGTAGTAGCAACAGTATACATGGTAATAGCAACAGTATACATGGTAGTAGCAACAGTATACATGGTAGTAGCAACAGTATACAAGGTACTAGCAACAGTATACATGGTAGTAGCAACAGTATACATGGTAGTAGCAACAATATACATGGTAGTAGCAACAGTATACATGATAGTAGCAACAGTATACAAGGTAGTAGCAACAATATACATGGTAGTAGCAACAGTATACATGGTAGTAGCAACAGTATACAAGGTAGTAGCAACAGTATACATGGTAGTAGCAACAGTATACATGGTAATAACAGTATACAAGGTAGTAGCAACAGTATACATGGTAGTAGCAACAGTATACAAGGTAGTAGCAACAGTATACATGGTAGTAGCAACAGTATACATGGTAGTAGCAACAGTATACATGGTAGTAGCAACAGTATACATGGTAGTAGCAACAGTATACATGGTAGTAGCAACAGTATACATGGTAATAACAGTATACAAGGTAGTAGCAACAGTATACATGGTAGTAGCAACAGTATACAAGGTAGTAGCAACAGTATACATGGTAATAACAGTATACAAGGTAGTAGCAACAGTATACATGGTAATAAGAACAGTTTTCATGATAGTAGCAACAGTATACAAGGTAGTAGCAACAGTATACATGGTAATAACAGTATACAAGGTAGTAGCAACAGTATACATGGTAGTAGCAACAGTGTATAAGGTAGTAGCAACAGTATACATGGTAATAACAACAGTACAGTATACATGGTAGTAGCAACAGTATACAAGGTAGTAGCAACAGTATACATGGTAATAACAGTATACAAGGTAGTAGCAACAGTATACATAATAGTAGCAACAGTATACAAGGTAGTAGCAACAGTATACAAGGTAGTAGCAACAGTATACAAGGTAGTAGCAACAGTATACATGGTAGTAGCAACAGTATACAAGGTAGTAGCAACAGTATACATGGTAATAACAACAGTATACATGGTAGTAGCAACAGTATACATGGTAATAACAGTATACAAGGTAGTAGCAACAGTATACATGGTAGTAGCAACAGTATACATGGTAATAACAGTATACAAGGCAGTAGCAACAGTATACATGGTAATAACAGTATACAAGGTAGTAGCAACAGTATACAAGGTAGTTGCAACAGTATACATGGTAATAACAGTATACAAGGTAGTAGCAACAGTATACAAGGTAGTAGCAACAGTATACATGGTAATAACAGTATACAAGGTAGTAGCAACAGTATACAAGGTAGTAGCAACAGTATACATGGTAATAACAGTATACAAGGTAGTAGCAACAGTATACATGGTAATAACAGTATACAAGATAGTAGCAACAGTATACAAGGTAGTAGCAACAGTATACATGGTAATAACAGTATACAAGGTAGTAGCAACAGTATACATGGTAATAACAGTATACATGGTAGTAGCAACAGTATACAAGGTAGTAGCAACAGTATACATGGTAGTAGCAACAGTATACATGGTAGTAGCAACAGTATACATGGTAGTAGCAACAGTATACATGGTAGTAGCAACAGTATACATGGTAGTAGCAACAGTATACATGGTAGTAGCAACAGTATACATGGTAGTAGCAACAGTATGCATGGTAGTAGCAACAGCATACAAGGTAGTAGCAACAGTATACATGGTAGTAGCAACAGTATACATGGTAGTAGCAACAGTATACATGGTAGTAGCAACAGTATACATGGTAGTAGCAACAGTATACATGGTAGTAGCAACAGTATACATGATAGTAGCAACAGTATACATGGTAGTAGCAACAGTATACATGGTAGTAGCAACAGTGTACATGGTAGTAGCAACAGTATACATGGTAGTAGCAACAGTATACATGGTAGTAGCAACAGCATACAAGGTAGTAGCAACAGTATACATGGTAGTAGCAACAGTATACATGGTAGTAGCAACAGTCACTGGCAGCAAGGAAGTATAGCACCACCACTACCAGCATCACCACCACCACCTCAAGCAACCACCACTATCGGAACTACCAGTACCACCACCAGCACAAGCATCACCAGTGAGGAGAGAGTGGCCAGGGGCCAGATTCAAGAAGCAATTACGCAAGCACTTACGAACCTCGAGACAGATTCACGAAGCAATTACGCAAGCTCTTACGAACCTCGAGCCAGATTCACGAAGCAGTTACGCAAGCACTTACGAACCTCGAGCCAGATTCCCGAAGCAGTTACGCAAGCACTTACGAACCTCGAGCCAGATTCCCGAAGCAGTTACGCAAGCACTTACGAACCTCGAGCCAGATTCACGAAGCAGTTACGCAAGCACTTACGAACCTCGAGCCAGATTCCCGAAGCAGTTACGCAAGCACTTACGAACCTGAGCCAGATTCACGAAGCAGTTACGCAAGCACTTACGAACCTGTACATCTTTTCTTAATCTTTGGCGGCTTTGTTTACAATTATTAAACAGTTAATGAGCTCCGAAACACCAGGAGGCTGTTTATAACAATAACAACAGTTGATTGGCAAGTTTTCATGCTTGTAAACTGTTTAATAAATGTAACCAAAGCCGTCAATGATTCATGAAAGATGTACACGTTCGTAAGTACCTGCGTAACTGCTTCGTGAATCTGGCCCCCAGGAAGCTGGGGTTCATCTCAGTACATAAGTCACGGGACCCGGATGGTAGAGCGCCTTAGCAGAGACTCTAACTGCCTAACAACTCGGCAAGGGCTGTTATAGGTAGTTAAAGGCTTGGCGCTTCCCCCTGATAAATCCCTTCCTAAGGGGTTGCAGTTCTGTCCGGCAACTGTTAAGGGTTTTGTAATTGGTAATTGGTGTAATTGGTAATTGAGCTTGGTCATGGCTCCTCTACAAACACACACTCATGCACACACGTTTCAAATGTTGATTTGATAGGATTTCGGATCCTGTACACCAGTTATCTGGTGTAGCTGATAGGCGGGACCGAAGAGCTGAAGCTTAACCCCTTAGAACATAATTAGGTGTGTGTTTGAAGTGGGTATACACATACACACACATGCGCGATGGGGGGGGGGGCCTCGCAGCTGAGTGGACAGCGCTCTGGGGTCGTAGTTCTAAGGGACAGGATCAATTCCCGTCATAGGCAGAAACAAATGGGCAGAGTTTCTTTCACCCTGATGCAACTATATATTTCACCTAGCAGCAAATAGGTACTTGGGAGTTAGACAGCTGCTACGTGCTGCTTCCTGGGGACGTACGTGAGTGTACGTGTGTGTACTTTGTGTGTGTGAGTGTGTGTGTGTCTACTTTGTGTGTGTGTGTGTGTGTGTGTGTGTGTGTGTGTGTGTGTGTGTGTGTGTGTGTGTGTGTGTGTGTGTGTGTGTGTGTGTGTGTGTGTGTGAGTATAAGATAAATATATGAAGTAGACATAATAAAGGAAAAATATATTGGTAAGAAAGGCGGGGTCCAAGAGCTTTAAGCTCGATTCTGCCGATACAAATAGTAAATACAAATAGTAAATACACACCAAGTTGCGCTTGAAGGCATATGAACACACACGTAGATTAGGCCCATTGTTTTGTGGTGATGGGATCAGCAGTCAGAAGTGGAGACTTCAATACAGCAAGAGTAGTGATCCATGTTACTGCGGTATGGGTTGAGAAAGCCCTATCTTGAGATTATCTTGAGATGATTTCGGGGCTTTTTTAGTGTCCCCGCGGCCCGGTCCTCTACCAGGCCTTCATCCCCAGGAAGCTGCCCGTGACAGCTGACTAACACCCAGGTACCTATTTTACTGCTAGGTAACAGGGGCATAGGGTGAAAGAAACTCTACCCACTGTTTCTCGCCGGCGCCTGGGATCGAACCCAGGATCACAAGTCCAGCATGCTGTCCGCTCGGCTGACCGGTAATGAATGTTTGGTGGTCTGGGTCAACCAGGCTGTTGGATGCTGCCTGTTACACTATTTCGATTTCGCTAACTATTTGAGCTACGTTGTGGCCCATATTTACTGTCATCTTTACCAATATTTAGATAAAATTTGTTTAAATTAATTTCGACATTTTTTTTAATGTAAAAGAACAGGTTATGACCTCCAGACTTATATTTATGAGTTTCAGGCAAGCAACAAAATGCCGCCTCCAACAGCCTGGTTGACCCAGACAATCAACCAGGAGCCCTGATCCGAGACCGGGCCGCAGGGATGTTGATCATCGGAATCATGAAAACCCTTCATGAGTGGCCACGATTCATGAACAGGGCCACGATTCACTGAGCATTTACTCGACTACTTACGGAACCTGTACATCTCTCCTTAATCATAGCGGCTTTGTTGACATTTGTTAAACAGTTCCTTGTCTCGTAACCTCCCAGCCTAACGTTATTATTGTTATAAAAAAAAAAGCTCATAGTGCCTCCATGCTCACAAACTGCTTAGTAAATGTAAACACAGCCGCCATGATTCAGGAAA